AGGAGCCGTGCTTTTTGGGGCCAGAAAGGAATGCGAGCACGGAATCGATTATCGAGGCGCTAGATGAGATGTTCATGGACTGCACCCTCGATTTTGATTACGAAAATTAATGTTACATCACAGCAACTGACGCCAGTCGATGGGCGCGATTTGAATTCCTCGTCGGCCTTAATGTGAAGTAGTATGTGTTACATTACTCGATGGCACAATTTTCATTACTCATGACTGTCCATCACGTCTGCCCACCATTCCTGCCCACCGCCTCGCCCACCGCCCCTGCCTACCATGCATTCTTAGCTATTCGCTTGTGACCATCTTTGATTTCCGGCCATTGATAATGCATGGCCAGTCTTTATAATACATGGTTGGTCTTCGTTTGTTGCCAATTCGCTTGCCTGCTACCCTAATCATGGACAGTGTTCCGTCAATGTCTAATGTGTGGCTATACATGCCACAACGGAATTCCGTTCTTCGCCTCATACAACTCACTGTAAGTAAGCTCTATACTACAAATCATCCGCTGAATCTTTCCCTCTAGAACGAAGTGGTTCGTCGCCGTCCATCAGCGCTGCAGCCGTTGTTTCCTTTTAACCTGCGATTTTAGCATCCGTTTGTCACTTTTACGGGGGCAGAATTCGTTCTCATCGGATACTTGGCCGACTACACTCACATCTACCCCATCTATGTGAGTTTGTCTCCTCAAATCAAATAATTCTCTCATCGTATTGATTCGTTCGTAGTGTGACAAAGTATTCGAGAATGATCAGCCTTGGATTCATGTACTTCAACAGGTTGGAACGCTAGTTGTCCCCGGCGGGGGGATATGCACCATATCCACAATTTATTCGCGACAACGGTGAGAGCTTCGCCTCCCCAGACAGTTCGCTTATTCAATTGCGAAATCAGTTGGAGAGCGGTGCCTACGTTCGATCAATCAATTCTACCTGTTGCAGACCAGGTGTCAGAGGCTTAGCGCTTCCTTCGTGGTTGGTGAGTTTTGTTATTTAGTTGTAATCATACATGTCTTCATCGTCACATTGATAGCTTCCAGAGTTGAACGCATCGGTACAATTCCATCATGCTCCGTTTCCATTCGGATATCCACCTCCCGAGCATCTCGTTGTCCCTGATTCGTGTGCTGTGGAGACAGCCTCCTTTAGCGCATCTATGCCATTTTCATCGGGACATCCACCCCTCAAGCACTTCGGTCTCGCTGATCCGGTCCTTCAACATGCTGCTGAAATGCCTGTCATTGGCACGTCTGCGCCATGTTTGGATTACACTGATCTTGCATACAGTGACTTCAACTTCTACGACCACTCCACTGGCTATTCTGCAAGCGCCGTTGACGAGTATCTCATTCCAGAGGACACAAATGAAACACAACTCGAGCTAGCCTTCGGTGAGCAGCAACACACCATGTATCCCAGCCTGGAATGGAGAGACTCCACCAATACCGGCGTGGACAAGAACAACCGCTCACAAATACTTCGTTACATGAGGAGGACGCCCTGGAATCGAATAATCACGCTAACAAGGTGCTTGCTCATAGGCGGGTTGTGGACCGGAGCTTCCGGAAACCCATTTCGGATTTCTGCGACAAGCATGCGACGTCTGATAACGATTTGTTTTCTCACTAGTTTAAACATGACTCACAAGACCTACGAGGACATGGAGTCCCACCCAGGTCGGTGTCTTGCATTTTGGGTGTTTCGTTATGTGTCGCTATCTTACAGTTTGATCAGTGATCGCGAGGATTTCAGAGACCGAAACCGTGTCTGCTGGATGGCCTGTGCTTCGCTTAAGTGTATGTTTTCCCTTGTCCTTGCTTTCGCTTCCTCCTAGGAACTAATTTGAGCAGCTGGTTAAGTCGTTCTCCAGTGCCAAATCGGACCTAGGAAAAATCCTGAAAGGTGCGATGTCAGCGCACCCCGACTTTGCCGGTACCAAGACGATCGAGAAGGCTATCTCCTTCGTTCTGGCTCTTAACTCGGGCCAATCCTCTCAGGTAAGAGACTGCAGACCAACTAGCATAATTTGACCTCAAGCGTTTTTGTTTTCCAGATCCAGCAAGCAATTTCGGACCTCATAAGTCACCAGGTATTTCGAGAAATTCTGTGGGGGTCCCTTTTGTACCCTGTCGACGGGTTATCGGATGGAAATTCCAATGGAAGAATCGGCGACCTTTTTCCAGAAGAGGTTCTGTCAAGGTTCAATTGTTTAGCCCAACACCTGGCTGGAAATTTAATGACTTTCGCAAGTCTTTCTTCCCCTTACCCTTTTGTATCGAACTAACGAAATTTGCATCAATATGTCAGGTTTACCATATTCTACTTCTCATGGTGAAGGATGAATTAAAGAAGAGGAAGATCATGAGCGAAGCCGAGGTCGGAAACGAAGCTGAGGCCGAGGTCGAGGTGAACATCGATATCGACGCCAGCGCTAATATCCTGGAACCAGCGCCGATGAATGCCATTATCATGGCGGCTCTAGACCATATGTACGAGCACCCACACATGTATCCAACGTTCTCGGAGGCCGTGAGGAGTCTCCCCTTCATAACGTAAATTTCATATGTGCACTGTTTTACCTAGCTCATCATGATCTACATTTAGGAGTTCTAATGTTCTTCAGATCGCTGCAAAGTCGCGACTTGCGAAAAGCACTATCTCTGACACTACTGGTGACAGGCGAATGGTCCTGGAAGACGTTCGGCCTATCGTTGTTCAGCCAATCCCCTCTGATCAGTTTGGCGCGCTTCCCAATAGCAACGGCTTTAGTTCCCCGAAGTCTCTGAGAGTCGCGTGGGACTTGCCCATGTCATCATTCTCGCGCAAGTAAATAGGACGTACGGCGCCGCTTTTTTCGTATGCCATCTTGTACTAAATCCATGTATAACAATCTTTGGAGCTGTCCTGTATGCCCAGAAAGCCGTAATCCCATGCATTTTGGCTCGTCTTCTGGAAACAAGTCTTAAACGTTTATTGGCCCGACTATGAAGCTTGAAGAGCCACACATCGCACAGAGCTCGAAATTGGCAGCGCAGTCAAACACTGCATGGTATTGAGATACGATCACAAGAGGTTCAAATTCGCATCATGCCATGGGTGAGTGCGCTCCAGCACTTAAACAATATTTATTTAGCTAACTACGTCACTGATCGGCGGAACAGTACGGCCCAAAGTACGGCTGGCTGGTATTCCCGTCCGGCAAACCTCGGCAAACAGTCAGATACATTCGGAGTTAGAAATTAACCTGGGCAGAATTGAAGTTCCGCTTATAGACAATTGATCACCCGCCTTACCCACGCCAATACACGACAACTACCATTTGCATTACTTACGGCAAATAGCCCCTGTCGAACCGTCAAACCCCGCATCGTAACATATCATAACACAGATGTCCCGCACAAACCACGCGGCCTGTAGAGGATCGCTGCCACTGAAAGGCAGGAAAGTTTTGGTAAGTAACGACTGTAATCAGCAACAGTAAACTAACGATTTCTATCAGACGCAAGTTGATCTGTGGTTCGATTCGGTGAGTCTGTCAGGAACTTCTCACCGATGGCTTACCCGAGATATACAGCGTCCCGTTCAATCGGTCGCCGTCCTGCCCACGCGCCGTCCGGGTCGTGACGTTAAAGATAACGTTCATCCATGCTGTGAATAAAGCGAGAGCAATGCTTCGGGTACGTCACGCGAATTTCATTAGCACAACCATGATTCACACACGCCATCTATGTACATAGCTATAATGATTCGGACTCGGGATGATTGTCACGCCTTAGGCGTTTACGCATATAGCAGGGCCTGACACATCCCATATATCCATCATCCATCATGAGATATCCAGCTTGTAGCATAGATCTTCAAATCCCCCCACATTTCAGCGCTACAACAATTGTACAGTAATTTAGCACATATCAGATTCCGCGCAAGATCACAATCGGTCTGATTTTTCCAATAGGCCTGCATACATACTAGCACAGTACCATAATGATCTTGCTATATGTCACCTACTATATCCTATATCCCTCATGATCACTCCAACTGCCTTCGCTAATTATATCCATGGACCCTGGTTTCAGGGTTGTTCCGAGCGGAGGTATTATGATCAGAATCGTGCGTGGCGTGAAATATAAAAATATCAATACCTCACTATCATCGTGTGAATGTTGAACGAACGATGGCCACGACGGTGACGGTACGTACTTTGTTCAACCGCGAGCTCTAAAGCTATTTGTCTAGCGAGACCCCAGCTAAAAGAATTGTTTGATAGATGTCGCAGCTGCTCGATTGCAGTATTCCTATCTGGCCTACACAACTCGGGCGGTACACCGAAATGGCACGGTCACCGTGAGTGTCGTCAATATTACAGGACGAACACGGAGTACTCACACAATGACATAGGGATTCTCTACAGCGCAACTATGACATCGACATGATGCAGATCGAATTGCCTCAGTTGGTAACCTTTGTTACTGACAATGTTGATCTAACCGCGGCATCAACAGGTCCGAGATGCACGGGGGTTGGACCGAGCTGGTTCACCCGTCAGGAGCCGTATACAACTACAATGCGGGAATGGTGAGTGCGGGCTAGTATTTGAATTTTACACGCTCACTTTGTTCTAATAAAGAAAACATTCGCCGAAATGAACTTGAGGACTTGTTCAGAGGAACGGCTCCGGAGGCTTGAGTCCTGGGTCAGAGCGTCAAGAGCCAAGCTAAACGGAAAGGGATATTTGCTAGTCGTGGAGCCGATCGTAGTGCAAGAGAAGGAAGTCTATCCGTACTATTACGTCGTCCCAGAAAATCATATCATTACCTGGGTGGAGCCAGTGAATGGCTACCTTCTTTTCCAGGAATCTATGGCATCGCACTGGAATCATAAAAGTACGTCCCTTTTTTGTCCATTGATTCTTAGACTTGATTGTACAGGACTCGAACTGGAGGCTCAATTTTGGTAAGCGATTGTTATACTGACACGGAACATTTCTTACTGATTGAGTAGGAAACATGCCGAATATTTTCCTCACGAAATCACAATACCCCTCTCCGAAGTAAGAGCTTTGCGAATTCAGCTGAACTGGTATCGCGTAGGTGAGTTATTTAGCGTTATAGAGGCCCGATCGAAAGTACCCTCAACAACAAACAGAAGCATTGGCCATTGAACAGTCAACAGCGGCTTCAATATTCTGGACTCTGGACCAGATGAAGGAAATGACCGATGAGCTGATCATTGCTGGCACGTACCTTTATCTTCACCGTTCAACCCACATTAATATTATCAATTGATGACTGACACAGAGGAACTTGCAGAACCTGATGGGACCATGAAGGGACCAGGTGTTTGCAATATGTGGTGCGTGAGCTTTAAGGTAGCTGGCAATCAGAAAACTTATCTTTCGCGAGGCAAAATATTGCATATGCTCCGTACGATCCCGTTTTCTCATACCATACGTCATTGAATCAAGCGATCAAAACAGGTCATCACGAATACCTGAACCATTATGGCCAACCCGAAGCTCGCCTGATACGAATGCACTCACTGGCCGAAAAACGCAGAGACCTCGAAGATTCTCCCTTGATCGCTGGCGCTGCAGCCGCCATGCTTTGGATTCCATTGATGATGCTTAGACGCCTTTAAAACGATTTACGTTGATGGTCTCGTGAATGTGGTGGACATAAGGAGTTTTACTGACAATTTCAGTGCCCAGGCTAAAGCTCAAACCACCGTGGTAAGTGCTCTGTCGCGGACCTAAATGAACATGCTTACTATGACTTCGTCTGCTCTGACAGGCAAGTGTCATCATGGCCGTCAACGCCAGCATCCTTGCTGTCCCAGGTTTGGGCACGCAACTTACCACGAAAACGATGTGCTCTATCTCCTTCGTTCTCAGTTTCTACTGTATTATCGGGTGCGCAATAGCACAACACTTTGGTCACAGGTTAAGATCCCTTGACTTTGCGGTTCGAACGATTTCATTTTCCGTAACACGGGCCTGACGTTATCAACTTGACAGGTGTATTATCTACAGGAGAAGATGGCCAGTCTTGCTATCATCGCAAGTATACCGAGTTTTTTGTACCTGACGAGGTAATTAAAACTTGGATCAAAATGTCTCATTACTCACGGGGACCACTGCAGTTTGGGATTTTCCATCCTCGGATTTCTGGCAGGTGTATTTACTGCTGAATTCGGACTATCTTTGTCTGCAAGGATTGGATGCGTGCTGGCGCTCGTTGTTGGAGCGGGCCTCATACTTCCGTTGACGATAGCCAGTTTCGGTCCTGGCCTGATTCGGTGACGAGGAACGACTCCTGTATTGGAGCAACGCATTAATGGCTAACGGACCGCGAACGATGCATATTAGCCTTCTGTACGTCGTAGGGAGATTCTAGCTGTTCCTTCATCATATCTTAGCGTTTCATATTCATTCTAAAAACTTCGTTGCTTCTCAGTGCTTCTCCCGTGTGACAACGAGTCACGATTGGTGATCTCTACTTAGTATCATAGACAGTAAATAAATCGGAGTTTGAAAGACTTGCCAGTGGATGTTGAGTTCGAGTTCTCGACGCAGCGACCATCGACAACACCCTTTCTTCCCGCCATCAATCACAGAAACATCCTTCTTGGTGCTGCACTACGATCAACCCGAACATTGACCTATCAGCGCCCCGGACCCCAATCAATAAAAATATCTTATTGATTCCACCAGTTATGCGTTCTATGTGGGTTCCCTCGCTCGAGAAGAGGTTATCAAAGGTGAGTGATGCTTGAACGAGCGAGCTGACTTATCATCGCGCCACATCTGATTGGGCAGGTCGCTACCCACCCCCCATGGATGCTGGGTTCTGCAGCGTTGCATTGACCACGCTTCGGACCACCAGCGCATCCAGCTTGTGAGCGATATCACTTATAACGCGTTGGCGCTCGTTCAAAAAGTGAGCATTTTTTTAAATCTTGATGGACGTTTTCATGCCGACTGGGACTGGTGCATCTTGTGTGGCCGAACACAGTACCAGGAAAATTTCGATTGAAGAGCTACTCAACCGCTCCCGCTTGGAGAAACTACTTCGCAACTCGTATGGCAACTATTGTGTGCAGGTACCATTTTTCTTTTGTGCATTTGTCGCTTGGGCTGGACATTCTTGTAGACCGCGCTAGACTATGCCGATCCTGCGCAGCGTATGCTCCTCCTCAAAAGCATTCGCCCAGTCCTTCCCTTAATCCGCAACACTCCTTACGATCCAAACCGTGTTGCAGCGGGAACAGGCCAACGTCGAGAACTTCAGCTATCATGCCCCTTATGGCATGATGCTCATGGGCAACTCTGGCCATTACGGTGGCAACCCCGGTTATCATGGTCACGGTCACCACAATGCAGGGGCCCGGTACATCCCCCAGGGAATGCACCCTACCAGTGTTGCTGATGTCTATGCCCAGGGAGGCTTGTATGGTATCCAAGCGCAAGGCTCCTACGGCCATTCTCGCCTCGGTCCCCAAATGCACGGTGTTCAGGCGCGTTCGATCGACGGATATGTCTTGCAAGGCACCTCTCCTCATAGCACGAGCCTGACACCCCCCTCATACCCAAGCCACTGGCTATACGGGCGTTGCTGGATATGCTAACGTGAGCCCTTTTGGCACGGTCGGTGTTGCCGGGTCATTGAATGATCCTTATCAGAGCTACGCCTATGGCATGTAGAACGGGGTACATTGTATGCCGATTTGGACGTTTCTGCTCTTTCGTTCCTTGCGCACCCGCGCAGTTGCTTTTCAACAGTTTTAATGTATATTTTATGTACTTGTGTTCGACACTCATACCTCGATGGTTTTAATGTATATTCTATGTCCTTGTGTTCAACGCTCGATACCTCACAAGCATGTCGCTCGGCTGCAGATCTCATCTTCCGGGAGATTTTTTTCAATCATGAGCAAGGGCTGACTTCTATCATACCGCGGCGCTTTTTTTTCTTAGGTGAAAAATTCGCTTTTGTAAGTCTTGTTTTCACTGGCCCAGGTTAAAACGTTCAGTACAACGTAAATTTTGCGAGGATATTGTGAGGATATTGCAAAGCATTTGCATAGACACTCCACAACGGTGAGGGATGACGATAATGCATAACTATTATAAGGATACTGTAGCTCTCGTCTGCCGACTGCATCTGATTACAAACAGCCACCACGAAGTCAAGCTCGTACAGCGGGTGACCATCATTTTGCAGAGATGCGGGTCTTCCTTCAAGTGTTTATCTGCTGACTGTCACAGTTGCGAGACCTACGATGCTTCATCAGAATTGAAGTCCTCTTGCAATGTATTGTTGTTTGACGTTATAATGCTGATGTTTTTACAATACTCTGTCTTTGGATATAATCTGCGCATTTTTTATTTGATTTTGGCATAAATATCTATTTAAAGCATCTCCAGCCCGATTCCGTGATGGACTCGGAGGGTGACATGGCTGAATTAGCACCGCATAAGGCCCATGAGATTACCACTATCAGCTGGTGCGATGGCTCTCCACACTCCAGAGGTCGATTGGGATAAGACACTAGTAGGACGGACATCTTGTTCAACATCAGTTGCAAGGAGGTAGCCTCAGACCCAACAGAAAGAAGACAGTTGTTCCTTCTGCATTAGGAACCTGGCAATCATGTGGACGTCTGCCAGTAACCTCGGTTCGTGCGCGGCTTCACGGGGCTGCTCGAGAGCACTTTTCGTATCTCGGAAAGCCAGTTGTATCTGCGTTGTACGATATCCCATTTACAGTCACAAGTCTAGTTGTGTTGGCAAGGGCCAATAACCATAAACACTTCAGATCTGAAGTCAAGGCAGACGGGCTTCATCATCATGATCACCACCGGTGACCATGCTATCGATGTCAACAGCACGTGATATATGTAAGGAAGTGAACAGAGAAAATTAATGCAAAGCTCTTGCCAGTTCCTTAGACTGCCCTGCATGTTTTTCATGTTCGGAAAATGCCGTCGGACTTCCAGGAACCTGAGCTTCTGGGATGTCCTACGCAGGCTCTCTGTCGCAAAGCACGGTCAAGTATCTGCTGTCGAGCACACTGCCACAGATATATCCAAGGGCGTCGGTCCTGTGGATGGCGTTCGTTACTCCCTCCACGTCAAGCTGAACGGTGCCAAGAACATTGAAGAATTCGCATCGACACATGACGAGGAGAATGGGAGGATAGTAATGGCCATTAGACATCGCACTCGAGCCTTCTGGGTCGTTCAGTATCATCCCGAATCAGTTCTCACACGCGGTAGGGGTATTAGCGCGGACCTGAACCCCGTTCTTGTGGGCGAGTTACACGCCCATAGAATCAGAAGGCAGAAGGAATTTTGGGCACTCCGTGGCCATCCGTTCGCCCATCTCCAAACACCCCTCGTATCAACACGCCACTATCCGTTTCCACGATACAATTAAGCATCCCAGGCTTGTTTGTTCCATATGCGAGGTCTTGGGCATCGACAATGACTCGTCTCCCTTCGTTATGCTGGAATCTGCTGCACAGCCAGGCTGGTTCACTATCATCGGATGCCTGACCTGCATGTCCATGCGAGTCACATACACATTGGAGATAATTTTGTTCATCTAGAAAATGGTCCTAATTTACTTCTTTCATGAACAAGCTCAAGGTCACCAGCGGTTCATCAGAAATCCCGTTCTGGAGTGGCCTCATTGTGTACCTCAGCAACGAACTCGGCAGTGAATCTCTCAAAGTTTCACCCCACAGGGTATCCAGCCGGGCGCGACACTCCAACGTCAACCTTGTGTTCATAGAGCGTAGCATCATTCTCGACTCGACTTCTGGACACATCTATCTCCAATCTATCGTGGAAGGCGACGACGCGAATAGCTGACAGCAATGGCTGCCAGCTTCACTCTGTCGCCCGTAATTATTCAACATATTTAATACTACGCCTTATCCAACCAACGCGCGACCAAATACGTCTGCGGTCATTTTAACAGAACCTCTATAAATTTCGCATCAATCTTGCGAAGGAGCACCTCTTCGCCGGAGAATCCTATGAGCTGTGTCTGACATCTAATACTCCCATCATTTTGAACGATCCGTTAGGCTTCGTCAACTAATTCACCGTCCTGGAAACGTTATAAACATCTTCGCGAGCTCGACCCCGTTCCTCACGCTGCTTACCTTCGGTTGTATCCAACAAATTTACCGGCTTCATCACTGGAGGTTTCTCTCGTTCTCTTGTCCACCTGGAACCATGTATCAACTGCGTCCCATCAAAGGCACCGTGCGGAAAGGCCCTCATATTACCCGCGCTGTTCCTAAGCATGCGCTCAAGGGTAGCCGGAAAGAAGTAGCCGATGATCTGCATGGAGCCGTCGGGGAGAATATGGAAGTTAAACAGGTCTACACTGTGGACGAATACAAGACAATATGGCAGCTTGTTAGTGTCATCGAAGAGTTCGGCAAACGGTGCTGATCAAACTCTCAGCCACTATGCTAACGGCGCGCGGGGGTGGGAGGTTCTCAGACGCAGCTTACCGTCGGGTATGTTGTAAGGCTGACTTATAGTTCGATGGGGAATTGAGACGAGACTTCGAAGTGCGTAGATTCTTTTAAGGGTGTTTGCTGAGAGGGTCTTTCGTCGTGCGTGGAGCGGGAATTCAGCGTGTCTGATTCTGCTAAGGTAACGAGCGCACATGTTGCGGTATATAAGTATTTTTGATCCGAACGATTAAACCGAGAGTCGAGTATGTAGCGCATGGAACTGGAAAATAAGTCGGCGAGAGACGGTGATGATGGGATTCGAGCATATGGTACGGTAGGTAAAGAGAGTAAGAAGGAATGTATCCACGTAACTCGGATGCGAAGAGTTCAACTCTTCGCATCAATGAGTCACGTGGCTGTGTTCGAGCTTGTCATAAGTTCGAACTCCTTGATTCTGAGTTGGTTCGGTGCATAAGGACATATTGTCCTTACAATGTCTTGTAGAGTTGTTCCTGATTCAATTGTTACTAAACTCCATAGGTAGCCTGTCCGGTATCTTTGGTTACTGTGTTGGCGGCGGTGACTGGTCTGTTACCATCCAAAGTTGCTTCAAATATGATGACCGGCACGAATGCGATGTTCATTCGTGGACGAAATTCAATAACCCCGATTTCTACCCCGGTGTTCACGAGCCAGAGCATTGGGTTGTTGGTGCTGGGGGGGCATCACTGCACTGTCCGATCCTGATGCCGAGTGGGAGGAGATGCTGGCGAAGCTTCAGTCGGTCCTCCACGTTTTTAGCGCGGCTGTACCTCGCAGGCATTAGTGGACTGCATGTTACCTTGACGACTACCTGCTTTATCTGAATCATCGGTCTGCATTTCTTGGATACACTGTACAGCTTTATTCACAAATAGAATCCAGTGAGACGGGATATATAAATCGTGCTTAGCTAGGTTGTCGAGTCTCAACCTTGACTTTCAACTTCGCTGTAAGACATGTCGGACGCTGACTCCATCAAGTCCACACGCAGTGCACCTCCAAGGTACGTGGCCTTTCATCCAGTTAATGATTCGATCTACAATCCTGACTCTTGGCTTCCAGTTACGACACCGCACTTCAGCATTTAATACCGGAAGAAGAAGAAGCAGAAGAAGACCCAAGAGTTTTAATGGTAGCACCATTGGCGGTGTTAGCTCCCTCGACCAATTTATCGTCTGATACTCTCACCGCAAGGTCTCATTGATTATTCCTAACCACCAACTTGGTCTTACATTTCCACAGAAACTATGCAGCTAACGTAACAGAAAGAGGACCATTTTCATCTGATGCCGAAGCAACAGGGCCATTCACATTCTCACCCTTCGGTCCAAACACTATGGTGCTTTTACCCCATGCGCTCTCTTTAAGTTCTCGTCCTCTATATCATATCTCTGTCTCGAGCGACTGCTTCAGACCTCAGATATTTACCACAACTATTCGCAGAGGAACAGAGCAAGGCCAAGTCATTGCAGAAATACAGTTTGGTCTTTCAAATTTCCCTCGACGATCTTCTGCTGATGCACCTTCATAGACGGTCCATATTACAGGATGATGGTTATCTCGGGACTGTTGAATACACAGGTTCAACGGAGCCTAAGATGGCTTATCTTGAGGATATTCATATCCAACGAGGAAAACGCGAAAAGGTAAGTCATTACCTCATTCAATAAACATGATGTTCCCATGTTATACAGGGGCAATATATATGGCGTTTTGACAAGGAAATGCCTCTCCTGTGGCAAACAAGTTTCTTGGGGAAAACAGTGCGACTTCTTGCCTTTGAGCGAACGAGCGATTTTCTCACAAATGTTCTGGGTAAATAGGTGCTTTCCGTCCTGTGCACTCGGTACGGGACCGCGGTGAAGGACCCACCGATTCTTGCTACATTCCATCCAAGCAAACAGAAGGGGCAGCTTCAGACATTGGATATTACAACGGAGGGGCGACCTTATATGGACGATATTGTAGTTTCATGCCTTGTAACAGAGGGGATAAGATCTACCAAGTGTGGTAGGTGAAGTTTTGAATTCAGAGATACCCTCTCGCATGCATATACTGCTGGTATATCTACAGATCTACATTTATTGAGCACGTATGTCCACAGGCGCGGGTGTACTGTCGTCCACCCCGCCCTAGAGATACCTTGCCATGCATACTACCGGAAAATTCCCTACACTTATGTAATAATCAACAGACGCTGTCGTGTTTATGCCATGAGAGCAATATATTTGAGTTCACTGGAAAACATGAGTACAAAGATCTGGCTTCGGGATAGTAAAATTTGTGGCGCACACTTCTGAATTTGCTGTCCAACATTCATCCGTTCATAGATTGTAGTCTGATAGGCCGTCCGACTCGAATTGAATGCATTTGCACGTTCAGATAGTTTAGCTAGGGATCGGAACAAGTTCATAATCGGATGAAAGGTGCCATAAAAATGTTGATGGTATACGAGTATCCGGCTGGTTGATCAGTGCGATTCTCCTTACGCCGCTCGACAAATTAGAAAAAAATGGAGTCATCTCTTTACTTGCACCGTAGGTTTCCGTGGTGTATAACCTGTAGCGTAGCCTCGTTCACGACTACCTCATGGAATCCAGCTTTGATAAGCCACCCGGACAGATGTTCAATTTGCTTGCCTGCTTGTACGAGTAGGTAACATCTAGTGGGTGGATCGTTAGGCAGTTGAGGTCTGTATGAAATCCGGTAAGTATGGTATCCTTTTGCCCATACTTCACCAAATCAGGATTCAGAACACTGAGGGTAGTGGAGACAATGAATATCAAAACCAAAGACCTTTATGATCAGTGCTGAAAGCTAGGACATTAATTGACAGTTGATGTAAATCAGTGTCGCCGTGCGACACTGAATCGCTCATTGACAAACAATGAATTTAATGTTGGGGTGATAATCATTGTCTGATCCAAATTCATTGTCATATTCAAGTTTTTTTTTTGTCACACAAAGAAAAAAAATTAATCCCTAATCTTTGCCACTTGCCTGGTTTGAACTCACGAGTCCCGACCACGCAAGCTCAGCTGAGATCACATAATCAATTCTCACGCATTTGAGCATTACTTACCACTAGTCTACATGACCTTGTATATATCTATGCAGCAATCGATATATGTACCATACCCATGGGACTTAGAATAAAAGACTTAGAATAAAATATGATAATCTACTCATATGATAAATATGGTACACCGTGGGAATTATTCCGATAAAAATTAAAGTTGCAGTCCTTGTTAAGGGTAGTCTATTCATCGTCTCATGAAATTTTTTGGTTGAGATCTTAGTAAGTTATATGCAAAATACTAGAAAGGTGGAGTGTTCAAGAAAGTTCAGGCACAACTAATATTGCTTATTGCAGCCGTCTGTAGGAATAAATATAAGTACAAAATCACTCCTTATTCTCCTTAGCTGCCTCGGTCACTGAATTTGTTTGCTAAGTAAATTATGGAAAAAAATGGAAAAAATGGGACTATGTGATTTGCTAATGTGATTCAGTGTCCTTAAAATTTTGACAATGAATTTCATACCCCTACATTCTCGAGGGTAAAATTCAATGTCCCCAGTTGTCAATGAATGCAAGTAACCAGAGATTAAGTGACACTGGGAGTGAATTCAACACATTCATTGCCACTGTCACTTAATCTAATGGTTTTTACTTCCCACAGTGGAAGCCGTTGGGCCAAGTACTAGATATGGTCTATCCACGCCGCACGGCACAAATTAAATATTCTATAGAATGATGTACGAAATACTAACCTATATTTCTCTGCCTTGATAGGTGAAACAGTCCCCGACGAAGCTGCCTGATGCTTGTGCTGACAACGCCGACTCGGAGTACATACAATGTCAACAACTCGAAGTGTTGGTCCGAGCCGTAGCCCAACGGGCCTTGTTAAGTGTCGCATGGGGATCCGTGTGACGCTGAATTTGCTCCTTCGTCGGGAGTTCCCTCCCAGATTTAATGTCATCGACGACTTTGGAAGCGTACTTGCACCTCTTGTACATCGATGCATACGGTACTGAGCGCTCACAACCTGTCACTGGTTTACACGAGCAAGTCCCTCCTCTAGGTACTTATCAAATATAATATTCTTCTACGTAACTTACTGAGGGAGTCTCTCCGCTAGTTCTATTCGCGCATATGGTGGAGGTCACTGTCAAGTTGAACCTGACGATTGTGGGTTAGTATGTGAAGAGCACCAGGTAAAATGACTCGAACCTTGCACGCTAAACGATACATGGACTTCGGTGAGCGCTTTCCACCTGCACACACAAAATGAAAGGCCTGCCACCAGTATGACAGCATGTTACTTACATCCTGAAGGCCATGTCCCGTACCTGTACCAGTATGGTCTGGCAGTGGACAACTGGTAGTTTATGTTGGATTAGGGCAGAAGTAATAGGGATTGGAGCTTGTGGTGGGCTGGCTAAGATGGGATCACAGAGTGCTGAGTCGATTGCGGACCTAGCATCCGCCGCGGCAAGTAAGCCACCGTCATCGTCATCCGATTCGCTTATGTTTCCTTGCAAGAGACGTCAGAATCTACGTTGCTGATCTTCTTTTGAATTACTTACCCTTGAGGACGGCAGTGTTGTCGCTGATTGGCGTTTGAGTTGTTTTTTCCTCTTCTTCATCTTCACGATCGCTGCGAGAATCGTATCCGTAGTCATCAAGGGGCATGCCATCCTCGAACGCTGAGCCACCATCGAAATAGACCAACATGGCGTCAGGTCATCCCGCTTGGACGATACTGTCCAACACGGATAAGCGAGCTCACCACCTTGACGGAAATAATAGCTTACGTTCGGCGGAAAATTCGGAGCGTGCTGTCAGAACAACGTCGTTGGCGAACAAGGCTTGGAGTCGGATGACTTTAAGTGGAACTTCGTATCAACGGAGCTCGTACCAAGTAAAGACTTCATCAGCGCGTTTGATGGTTCGACATCGTGGAGTGCTGGAGGGTTAAGGGCTCAAGTCTACCAAGCTGAACGATTGTCTCCAACGGTGATGAGCCAGAGCCTGGTGATTTTCAACACGAGAATTGTTGGTAGTCTGTAACTTATTTGACATACCACAGAGAATAACCCAGACCTCATCATTACACGTTGGTCGCGGTTAAGCTGGTGAAATTACGATGGAAACTTGAAAATCGTCTCCCTCTGCCGAGGACCAGTACACTCACATCCTGTCAATGAATGATATCTTCGGTCAGCGTGGCTCGAGGTAAAGGAAAGATAGACAAACTGACGTCCTATCGATGGATCAGCAATGTTTGTTGGTGAGCAAGACTCAAGGGATCAGACACTGACAGCATGTTAAGGGGTGCGCAATGTGAGTGACAAGCAAAGCTCGAGCTCTACGAAGAAACAAAACATTGACTTCCTGTGAGTGAACGAGTAATGTGACAAGTAAGCAACACTAGAGCTCGAATGAGGATGAGGAAATTTACCGACTGTCGATGGATCAGCGATATCATCGGTCAGCAAGGCTCGAGCTCGAAGGTATATAAACACACTCACAGACTGAACGGATGGGTGATAGCTTCATCAGCATGGCTCAACCTCGACGGCGAATCAACAAGCTCACAAGCTGTCAATGGATAAGCAATGTGTTCGATCAGCATGACTCGAGGTCGACGGAGGATGAACATACTGACCCTGAAAACAGATCGGCAATTGCTTCCACTTGATGAGCGAGGTTGTAGGGTAGGTTGACAAAAGGGATGAGCAGACTCATAAGCTATCAACGGATCGGCTATTTGTTCGGTGACTGTGATTCGAGGTCTGAAAGGATGAATATACTCACATTCTGCCAAATGGATCACTGCCTGTCAACAGATGACAATGTCTTCAGTCACCCAGGCTCAAACTCGACAAAGGATAATTGCACTCACTCACTGTCTGACAACGGATGGACGATGAATTCGATCAGCATGGGTCGAGCTCAAGGATCAACACACTCACAGCTCACCATTCACAACTTGTGACACAAGCTAGGACGGGCGAGCAATAATTTTGATCGCTCAGGTGAGGATCAACACACTCGCATGTTATGAACAGTGGTTAGCCCGAGCTCGAAAGAGAATTAACACGGGCACAGACTGTAAACAATGGCCTCAAATCTCCTCCACCGCAGTTGGACGCTCGCTCCTCCGAGTCCCAAGTTGAACTTTGTTGACCATCATTTTCTTTCGCACGTGATCACCTCGAGCTCCGATTTCATATTTTTCATTTCAGCTATCTACCTCGAAGAAGGCAGTCGCATCTCTGGCACGAGAATAACTCTACTCTGGCTTAAGCTAGCTTCTGCACCTTCTCGATATGTATTTCCCCTCCCAGAGATATCGACGCTTGTAATGATAGACAGCGGAAATTGATAACGGCAACTCAGAAGCCATGTCAACAAGTCTTGGTTCTGCAATTGCCGTCCGTCTAGCTCAGGGATGTGACGCGAGCATTTCGGTGGTCCGGTAAGACACAACATATCAAACTGGCTTCAATGATATCTATTGCAATAGTGTCGGTATTCTTACCCGGTCTTCCTGTACGGCTCTCGGACCCTTGTGCTTCGGCAACCAAGATCCTCAAGTGCTCGGTCCGTGCTCGATTTTCACCTCTCCAGTTTTCTTTCAGGCACAGATCATCACATTGAGGCGTATCCAAGCAAAGCGCTGATCCTTGTGGCACATGCCTGTACGGTTGGTTTTAATCACGATCGCAAGGAGCAGTCCATTGTATCATGGAGGAAATCTTAATACACTAACCGCAGATCAATATTGGTGCAGGTTAAACTAGGCGAACTCAATACTTGAAAGAACTGTGGACGACTTGTCCAACCCTTCTAGCGGACTGCCTGCGGCGGAAGAAAGCCGCGAACCAGCAGCTTGGAATACTCCTCGATTTGTTCAAGTATTGCATGTACCTTCTGCGCTCGATGCAATGCCAATGCCACTACGAACGGACCTCGATCTCTTCATCCTTTCATCCACTCATCGCAGCTGTCACTTGACAGTCAAAATCCAAAACGTTAATGCAGCCTCATTGAATATGCATGCCCGCACTTCTTCGCCCCCCTCGCACATATCTGTCTTCCGCACGTGATTGTCTCGAGCTCCGATCTCGTCTTTCATTTCAGTTATCTACAATTTCGAAGAAGGCGATCGCATCCCTGGTACGTACGATAATAACTTCTACTCTTTCTCAATTCGTCTTTCCCCTCCTAGAGATCTCAACGCTTGTTACGAATGAGGAAATTGATAACGGCGTCTTGGGGCGCACGCAGACGCTCAAATTCAGAACAGAATAGAACATGCGATCGACGTTAACGATATGTCTGATTGGACCTTGCTTTCGGTCCTCCAAATACTTATGGGTTCACATGAGGCGTGATGTTCATTTTCTTTTTTGCATTCTTTGGTTTAAACTTTAAATTAGCGATCCCTGCGTAATGGCTCCAGAATCACGCTCGAGAAGGCACTCGACCCTTGCACGAAGTTGAAGTTCCCCTGTAAGTAAAATGGAATGGAATCAATGACCACGTATCCGTCGACGTAAACTACTCGACACATCCAGGGATTTCGCGAAATAGGAACTTTCCGACCGCATCAGAATTGCTTCATCATCTTCTCCATCCCCGAATGTATTGGAATACAGTTTGTCGCGGTTACGAGGAAGTCGCTATGGAGGGGTCGCTTGGCTTTGAAGGTCCTCTTCTTGTCGACAATTGATCATCATTGAATAGATCATCATGTGTTATTGCCCGGAATCAATCCAGAGGTAAGTACCTTGACCTTACCCGGCTCAAACTTCCCGTCCCACTCCCATTCCAACCCCATGATAGATAGATAAGTCAGAACGTCACGGTTCTTAGCTACCAACTTCATCCTGGATCCAATACCACGGCAACAAGATACGAAGGTGCGCATGATATGATATCGAACCCGGTACTCCAACGATCAAAATTCCCCTCAGGAGACGCGTCACCATTCTTGTCCTCGAGATCCCCGCACACTCAGGGGGCGATGAATATCGAATGTTCTGCTGAGCGCGTTCGTTCGTTCGTTCGTTTCGCTCGTTCGTTGACCAACACCCGTATCGTACCTGTCCAATCTCCAATTCATTCCCTTCCCTCGGACCGGTTCGCATCATGATGCGAGGCTCAATGTTTGACCGCGACCTCCGTGATTCAGATGAAGCGCGTGCGTTCCTCCATTCGCAGTTGGCCATACATGTATGTATGTACATACTTGTCATTCTTTTACTTTTTTCAGTTCTATGACGTCTTAGTGCTTGCGTCGGCGGAGACCCACTAACGCGTGTATTGTATTTTGTATTTTGTATTTTGAATATGGGTCGTACCCCTGGAATGAGAAAACGCGTGCCGTAGTTTTGGTCCGCTTCAATCGAGGGTAGCACACTCGTTCTTGTTCCAGACTCGAAAAACTCAAACTTGAAAGCACCACCCACAAGATCTACGAGTCCATTCGTACCTGAGATATCTATCACGATAAGCCCGTCTAGAACACCTCCACAAAGCGAGCGAGGCACGAGAACCGAACGGTACCGCCAATCACCAGCAGCAGGGCTCTTACCGACCCCCACTTCACGCCTCAAATCAAAAATTTGCAAGTTAGATAGATAGATACAACCATCTCCATTGGGGGGCTTGATCCGCGAAGCCCTTCGCGATGTCATGTAACGTATCGTCGTAAGTAAGTATACAAACCAACGACTGGACGAAAAAAAACCTGCTACTGCTAAAATGACGAGGGAGCTATCTTCCAAAAAATATATACGGATGAGCGTGAAGGGAAGGAAAAAGCGGGGGATTTGGAAGGAAGGGTTATGTCGATAGTTCAGGATGGTGGGATTGCCGCATCCAAGATGAAGGGTGCCGGGACAGGGGTGAAGAAGAGAGCGTAAGGAAATAGAGGATGGAGGATAGAGGAATCAGGAATACAGGAAAGAGTAAGTGTAGTACAGATTCACTTGACAACGAGACCCGCATAATGGAGTCGATTACAGTAGATGAAAGCACCGATACACAATGGAGTTTGGATGATGGAGATGTAGACTGGGGGGACTCTATGTAGGAGTCTAAGCTGCGCGTATGCCTTGAGCGAGCGTGCCGGAGTGAGGAGAAAGGAAATGATTGCGATACGGTGAAAAAGATGACGACGCGATTCAGACAATGAAAAAGAAGACCGACGACGGTAAGAACCCAAAGCCGACGAAGAAACACGAGCGAGCAAAAGAAAAGCCATGCGATGCGTGAACTCTACAGTTTGCGAATGGAGGAAGGAAAAAGACGAGGACAGATAGAGAGAGATAGAGATGTCGTGAGGATCATATCAATGCGTGGAGATTCGTGCGCCAGAAGATGCAATGTTTGTCGATGGTAATGCAAGGGGATGAAGGACGCGGACGCGATGCAGGGGATGAAGACGCGAGTGTCGATGTAGAGGATAAGTTGAAGGCGCGATGCAGAGGACAAGGATGAGTTGAAGACGCAGACGTCAAAGCAGGAGAGCAAACCCCTAATACTGCTGCATCCCACCCGTCTCATAATACTCCCCCTGCCCATACTCATACCCATGCTGCACCTGCTCCCCCTCCTGCGGAAGAATCATGGGCGGATGCAAATACGTCGCAAACAAACTTTCTTCTTCCTGCGGAAGCATCATCGGCGGGTGCAGGAAATCCATCCCGTGCCCACCATGCCCCCCATGCCCATGACCATGTCCAAGCCCGTGCCCAAGCCCACCACGTCCGATCCCATTCCCGTGAACATGTCCATGTCCATCAGATCCCCCAACAGCATCAGGCAACATCGGAGGATGCACAAACTGCGGGCTCCGCTCAACACCCACACCCCCGCTGCTCGAATGGTGCCAGAACGCATTGTTGCCGTTCCCCCTAAACACGGTATACGGGCTGAAAAACGGAAAGTCCATACTGCTTCGCCGCGAAGATGAAGACGTACCGGCGCTCGTCGCGCCTGAGCCCGTCGTGAAGCTGTCCCCGCCGTACGAGGAGTATGATACTGCGCTGCTGGGCGGCTCGGATACGCTGTCTGTGCTCATGCGGCGGCGCTTGGCAGTGCGGCCTGGCGTGTTGTTGTTGACATTCGTGGCGTTGTTGTTGGCGCTGTTGTTGTTATTGCTGTTATTGCTGGAGCCGTTCCCGTTCCCACTACTATTAGTCTTTGGAGACGCGTTAGAGGAAGACGCATTCGAACCCGCTTCTCCATCGATACTATCCACTCCAGAAAACGGCAGCGCCTCATTACCGCCAGCCATGCTAGGCGGCACCCAGTTCTGGCTCAGATAGTCCGGGTGGTAAGGCCCAGGGAAGGGGTTATACACCGCATATGTATCACCCAGCGCACCCATCAACTCACTGCTCCCGCCCATACCCGTACCCACCATACCAGCGCCTGCGCCCATCCCTGCACTCATGCTGTGCGAGGCAACGGGCTGTGTTGTGCTGTCTGGCGCTAGGATGGGCGACGGCGACGGCGTAGGGCGGCGTGAGACGCCTGGGGACGCGGAGGGTGTTTGGGTCTGGGAAGGCGTCTCGGAGGGCGTGCCTGGTGTGTTAGAGGCACTTGGTGGTTCGGTGAGAGAGGAGCGCTGTGCGCGTGCATCGTGACGGGAGCGTTTGCGGATGATGTCTGACTTCATGCTAATGGGGCGTGCCGAGCCGTGGAGCTTGTAGTAGAGGCCGCATCTGCGTGTATGTGAGGTATTAGTACGAGTACGAAAGGAATAAGAATAGGAATAGGAAATAGATACTGGTACTTACGCATTGCAAACGGTCTTGCCTTCGTCGTCCTTCCTCCATAGAGGCGTTGCGGTCGTGTGGCAGTTGTAGCACTGCGCGCTGCCTGTAGATACAAAGTCGAGCTTAGAAAAATGACCCCCTCCCGAAACCCCACTCAAACGGACTTACCAATGATTTCAACGACATCTCCCCTGCCTGTACCTACTCCCATCGCAGTCGCAGTCGCAGTCATGCTCGCACCTGCACCCGAACTCGAATTGACACCTGCACCTCCAATTCCACTACCACCAACACTTGCGATTCCATTCGCATTCGCACTTGCACTCGGGCCCGCATTCGCGTTGTTCGCGCTCACAATAGCAGCTGCACTCACACCAGGACTCACCACCTCCCCAACAGGCGTCGCAGAAGAAGAAGGTAAAGTAGCAGCAGCCGAAGCCAGCGCAGACAACGCAGACGCCAACGACGACGCACCACCGCGTCGTCCCTCTCCATGACTAGCACGCATGGATTTTGGACGCGGGCGTTTATGCTATTAGAAACAGAGATGTATTAGCAAAAAGTCCATGTCCACGCGAGGTACATGAATGAATGAAAAAGAACTCACGAGTTTGCAGTAGAGCCCACAAGCGTTACAATTTAACTCGTCGTTCAATCCTCGTCGCCATAGTGGGGTATGAGTAGCACCGCAGTTGCTACACTCAGCTTTGACGCCGCCTGGAGCAGTAAGCGTTGCTTTGCCGCTGCCTGGTGCAACGCCTCCAAGGGTGAGAAGCGGGTTGAGGCTCGTAGCGGTAGCGGAGGCAGGAACTGTCGCAGACGCAGTGGGTTTCACGGTCGCAGCAGCAGCAGCAGCGTGCTTGACCGCAGACGCTGATGGGGCAGCAGATGAGGGACTCTTCACGCTCCCAGAAGCACGCCGCCCAGCTTTGCTTGTCTTCTTGGTCGCAGACGTCTGCACTGTGAGCACCGGACGGTTGGTTGGGGTCTTGCCTGAGCGGTCCTTACCGCGAGTGCGCGGGTGAGATTGTGCGTGCGTGTGGGAATGGGAAGGGACCTGAGGGACTGGGAACGGGTCAGGTGTGGAGGGCTGTTGGGAGTGCTGCTGACGAGAGTCGCTCATGAGGACGTCTTGCTCGGCAGGGCCTGCTGCTGCGGACCCGCCAAGCAGGAACTCACCCTCGGATTGGGTGGGGAGGTTGGTGTTGCTAGTGTACTCGTCGTAGCGCATGTCGACGTCGCCTTCGTCGTTTCCGTCTTCTTTCGTGTCGTCGGGCTGGGTAAGGGGAGCGTCGGCCATTCGGTCATCTTCGGCGTCATAATCCTCTCCTAGGAGTTCGTCTAGGGGGAGTTCAATGGTTGGACGAAAGATACTGAAACCGGTTGCGCAGCCACCGCTTACACCTTCCCCATAGCTCATGGGGTTAGTGAGGGTGGGGGTGGAGTATAGGATAGCGGTGGGGCCAAAGGAGGTGCTAAAAATGGGGGGGAAATGGAGTTTTTCATAAGAGGCGACAAATTTTTCGTAAGAGGAGTCGTGCGTCGTCGAAGAGGAAGCACCATTGGGGTTGGATGAAGAATTAGATGCTGCGTCGGATGAGGGATGGTTAGTGCCGGAGGTTCCGTCACCTCTCCTGCGCCTGCGACCCTCTCTGAACTCGGCACTAGGCCTGAGGTCTGGCTTTGTTGGACTGGAGGATTCGCCAGAGAAGGAGGTATAGGATGATGAAGAAGCGGGGAAAGAGCCGGGGGGAGCATCGACGCTGAAAGTGAATTGCATGCGTTTAATGGTGCCGGGGCGGGCGTTCTGGGAAGCTTCTCGGGAGCGTTCGCGTTCTACTGCTCGTTGACGAATGAGGTCAGTGGAAGCATTACGTTTGAAGTCGGGTGCTTCGAGGGATTCGATAGCGCTGGGGAAAGATATGAGTGTTAAAAGTGGTGGGGTAGAGGAGAAAACATACCGGCCCTTCTCCTTGTCGAGTTTATCACCCATGTTCTTTGACAACTTCTTGAATTCACGTTTTGACTTCGCATTGTCGGTGTCGACCATTAAGTTCTGCAAGTGCCAAAGTCGCCATGAAAGGTTCTCGAGGCGTTGACCCTGCTCGAGGTATGAGGCTACTTTGGTGCATACCTTGTGAAAGGGGTTAGCGTTAAAGTTAAAATGAGATTAGATATGATTCACCTTCCAAGTTTTTGTGAGTGACTCGGTGTCGCTCAAGTTGCTAAAAGCAACAAAAGACTTGTTACCCTATTGCACAGGAATGTTAGTGATTGAATTTGTAAAGGAAAAACGAAAGAAAAGGCGACCTTGAACTTGAGATTGACTATGGACGGCATGGACTCTGGTGAAGGTCCAGAGAAACAACGAGGCAAGTAAAAACGCTAAGTTTCAAGTGTGCTTGATCAGAGTATAAGAAGACTTTGATTGGAACGGGGAACCCAGGGCGTAAAACTCTGATGGCTTTTGCTTACGAGATCGCTTACTTGGTAGCACGAGGCAACTCAAAAATTACAAGTTGACCCCCCCGTGAGAGTTTTGAATTCGTTCAATAGCCTCATGTTACCATTCTTCTCATCTCCTCCACAATAAACCCAATCTCAATACCCTATGCCCTACTAAACCGGTTCCCCGGACAACTTGATCCTTTATTAAACGAACCTTGCACAGCCTCAACTCCCCCATCAGACATCCCTTCCAAATTAGGTATCACCCCTGTACGGACAAGCCTCGAGGCCATCCCGCGGTCATTTCGCTCAATGTCCACTCTCACCGTGCCGCACAGCGCCCGGTCTTCTCTTCTTCAACTTCCACTCTGCCGCCGGCCGATCTCCCCGTCGTCGACACTCTCCTTCACCCTTCTTTCGGCCGTATATGATGGTCGTTCAGTACTCTGTCACTGATCACCGTCGTCCCACTAGCGTTTTATTCTCGCCCCATGACCATTTCTCACGTAGCTTCCCTACTTCCTAGAAGTCATCCCACCATGGCCATCGAACGACAGACGAACGACGAACGACAAAGGACTTCCTACGCCAAACAAGTAGTTCCTCATACTTTGACGACTGTTCAAACCTTTCCACTTTCCCCGACCATCTCCACCATTATGAACACGATCACGATCTGTGTGGGGGAAACGTCCCTCCTCTCATAATCAGTACCGCCACCGTCAGGGCATCCCAATATCTCATATCGGAACCCGATCCTACTTAACTCGCCACGGGGCCTGAACCATGCGACCCTTCAAGCTCCACCATCCGTAACTCATCCAACCAAGTATCACCAGTTGGGAAACTCCCTACCGAAACAGTCTCAACTGACACGTACACATGTGGAGTAGTACGACCAGCTGAGTCCGTACATAAAAACCATCAATCGTACGGCACTCTTCGTTCGGCCGCTACCAAGTAAGTTGCCTTTCTTTTGAGTTTTGCTTATCGTCGCTTCCAAAGACGTACATACTATCGGCCACAGTCGCACGAACCACCGAATTACAGACGTTGCTGACTGGCTCGCCCCTGCTAGCAATTACTCCCCCACCCAATTATGTATTTTCAAAACGGGACGCCTACTACCCCCGGACCGACTCGTCATCACTACTCCACTATCTCAAACGCACAATTTTCAAGGTCCAGCCTAGTCCCAACGCACTACGCTTCCCTCCCACCCTCAACTGCAGAATCACGACCCAGTCCCAAATCCCACTCGCACCACCTCTCCAAAGCCGGTTACACCGATCTCTCATGATGATCAACAAGCCTCGATCGGGATCGGCGTACTGCGGAATTTACATACACACAATCATTAACGTACATACTTGGTCCTTAATGTTCATCTCAGCGGTCGTCAGATAGGGGGACACCGCGTATATAAGTAGACAGCTGTTAACAATATCTTGTTCTCGTAGATCATGAATATGAATGTTCGTACGCCGCTCGTGCTTCCTAGTTCTAGACCCAAGAACGTTAACAACAACGTTGTCTGTACTTGGTTAAATTGTCGCACCCACCGTACCTGCAGAATAGATATCCTGGACTAGTACATACCACACTAGAAACTCACTTGTATGGTATATGGGCCATGAGGAGATAGACTATCTGCGCCGTGTACGATAAACGCCCATTTTTGGGTACCACAATTATTCCACCCGCTAGTGACGGTACTTACATACTTCATAGACTCAGATATGGGTTCAAGTGTACCTAGCCTTAGCTTGAAGCTTGAAAAATCACCCGCGCATAATCCGATGCCTAGAACCCCACCCAAATACCCCTTGGAGCACCACCATCATCATCACACGCTCAAAGTCACCACTCAAAACCTCGTGTCCGGGCACGAAGAACCCAAGAAGTCAGTCAATACCATGGCTCCACATGTACAACTCCAGTAAGTCATCCGAAGAGCGGTGTTTTGTAAACAACAACACTTGTTCTCACCAGAAGAACAAGGTACGCAAAGCTAAAGCCATCGCGGCAACGTTGAAGGGAGCACCCAAGGGGCGCATAAACGCCAGCTAAATGGAATACGCGCACCTGCGTACTTCCATGATGCGGCGCCTGTCCTGTCATGGCGGACTTGAAGCTTCTTTGATGGCGGAAAGGACTTCTATGATTGATGGCATTATGACTCGAGTGATGGTGTGGACAGACGAATATCATAATCATACTGAAAAAAAGGCCCCATGTCAAGAGGAAAAAATGACCCTTGACGTTGTATCCGATCTATCCACTCGAAAAACAGAACAACAAAAAACGTTACTCGCGTACTATCATTCGTGCGAGTAACCCACCTGCAGATGAAGCATCAGAACCCGTCTAATAGTAATAGTAAGTAATAGTAATATCTAATACTTACTATGAGTCGTACAGGGATCATTCACATGACTCGTTCGTTCCATATACAGACATGTCTATTGGTTGAAAGTTGAAACGTGAAGTCGTAATCAGGGGCATGAGCAAACGAGAATTCGTGCGTACGTGATAGGACCCTGCGTTTCGCAAACGAGGAACGTCGTACGTTATGTGTGTGTACAGTAGGCGGCTGCGTTCGCCGAGGCATTTCGGTGAGCAGGTGCAAAATGTGTAACCCCCCCGGCAAGCGGTAAGCCGAAATAAAATAAAAAAGCCAGCACCAGCTCCAACAAACGCTCGGAACCAAATCCCGACAACGGAACACGCCTCAGCGTGGCGCAGTTTGAGTTCAACCCATGATAGTAAGTCCAAGTACATGGATGATAGTCAAATCCTACTTGTTTGAAGGCAAGATGTATGGATGGCGGGATGAAAGGTAGTATGCGGCTGTGTTGTATTACGCCTTGGTTACACCGAGATGATGCATATGATCATGATCATGACAAGGTTCAACAAAAGGGATGGCGACGGAGTTAGGAGCCGCGGATTGTGTGCTGTGCTGTGATGTGCTGTGCAGATTCCAAATCCATGCACAATGCACATGCTTGCACATGGAGGGCGGGAAAGAAGTGAGGTAATGCTTGACATATGTTATGATGCACGTTCTTGCGTGCGTCTAAGCATGCTCCCGTGCTGGTCGGGTAATGCGCAGCTTCTATACAAGTCGGAACTTGTCCTTTTTGTCGGGCGTGCGTCAAGGGACAGAACGTGGCTGACACGCACCACCTTGGGTCCAGCGCTCTACGGCATTTTGAACCTCGCCGGATGCATATGGTCCGTCCGAGTGTGAGCTGCTGGATTGACATAGAGCTATAGTGGACACATGAACATTGAACAGATCATCCTGCACGTACTTTGAAGAACCGCGACGCCGTCAGATTTAATCGAGTTTATTGGTGTGAGTTGGTTGTGAGCGTGAATTGCAGCAACTGGACGACGAATCAAAAATTAAAATTAGAGGCCTGAAAATTTCGGATGCAAGATATTGTCACGTGGTATTACATCATACGGCACAAGTATGTACAAAAAACAAGTTGGTTATTGTTGATCACTCTTGCTCCGTACCCACGGAAACGAAATTCATCTTGTCCGAGTCTGAACATACTGGTCCGACGTTGTTAGGAATGAAGGTACGTGTCTTTCCTGTTGGCATTGAAAAGATGCAGATTGTCGGCCCGGACTCGGCCGCTCGACGCTTTGAAAAGGGCTATTAGGACGGAGAGGTTTGTGGAAGAATATTGACGTTGACACGGCCGACTTATGGAGGGTGAGTGAATGACGAGATCTGACACGTTTATATGCTGATATGAAATGATACTTTAGAGGTCGATATCGAGCCGGAGAATCTAATGATTGTGACAGTCCCAGTTTTGATCAAGCTCGATCATTTATAAATCATCGACTCCACCGTCCCGAGTGTTCTAGGGTTAGAAATATTCACATTGTGGCGAAATACTCTCCGAGAGGTGAGCACATCTGTTGATAACTGGTATACTCCTAGTATCTCTGGACCGTCAGCCGTTCCCCAACTGTCTAGTTTTTGTCAACGACCCTGACCGTATTTCCTCGGTCGAGATTTCGATCATAGAGACTTTCAATACTCCGAAAAGTGATTTAAGGTAAGGACAGGCATGCATGCATTTAGTGATGTAAACGCCGACGTACTCTGGAACATTTCCCTGCCTTGCGAAGACAGCCTTGAGCGAAACACTGATTTTGACCTTCACAGCGTGCAATGGCTATCGCCCGCGGCTATGTTACTCAACGATTTCTCCATTTCTCCCAACAAGCACCTGTATATTATTGTCCTACCGCGACCTACCGACGGCGGGTTGTCTGTCAATCCTGCCACACCTTCCTCCATCCTGGTCACCGTCTTGCCTTGATTAGTGCTAGTGGCGCCAAACATGTTGATCGTGAATCAACGACGCACGTGCCTCCAGAAGGTCTCAGAGACTCCGTCAAATGGTGGAAAGTCAGCCTCATTATCTGCAAAGTAGGGTGAGAGTGAGTGGCTTTGCAGTCGTCCTGATCATGTTCTAGTCGCGCTTCTCGAGCCCATCTTTGTCCAGTTCCTGGACAATTGGCAAAGATGTGAAGCAACTGACGAAGGAAACTGGCTTGTTCGTGAGCTTTTTTATCATATCATACGTGCAGCATAATGTGCTCAAGCTTGTACTATGAAGAGTGTGACCAGTACATATATTCATGGATGTGCTCGACTCTTATGGTATAACCCTCCATCTTGGTATGGTTGGTTCGACCATATTTGACCTTTCAAGAAACGATTTCAAAAGAGTCGCGAAGATATTCAATTTGATTTAAAAGACATACTCCGCACGTCTGATACGAGGGGAGAACACGGTGGACGAGGTCAAGCAGCTATGTCCGCGTTCTCGCCTTGATAATGTACTCACGCACTCGATCGCACAGAATACCACAAATCTCATGACAACATCAAGATCGTAGTTGGACTTTCTGGGAACACGATAACTGAGGTATAGATCCATGTTTCCTATCGCAACCGGCCTCTGAGTCATAGAATCAGCACTCAGAGCCGCCTGCCTCTACCTCCGATACAACACTGGAACTTCAGTCAACCACTGACGAGATCATTCGGATTTGTCCTCAGTGAGTCAGGATGACCATAAGCCGCGTTCTCCAGTTGACACCAACGGCTTCCCAGGTTCCGAATTCTGGTGATAGGAAAGGTATCAGGGTTTCGTTGATCTCAGGCTAGTATTGATGCGGTGTTTCCAATAGACTGGCGTTGGGAAAATTTCGCTCATAAATCGGGCCTTTGGAGTGCACGAAGCGGTGGGCTGCTCACGACACCATTCCACAGAGGCTTGCTGATGCTGTTTTCATAGATGGCTTCTACTCATAAGCCGGGCGAGGCCGATATCGACCACGAGTTTGTCTCGTTGCAGAACAACAGGTTTGTTCTCCACGATAGCAAAGGTTTCGAACCAGCTGAGGAAGGCAACGTGAATATGGTCCGAGATTTCATTGACCGTCGGAGAAACTTGAAGGACTTGAAAGATCAGCTGCATGCTGTTTGGTAGGTCAATCGCGATGAATTCGTGTGACAAGCTGATACAATTCACGGAAGGCTTTGCTTTGAAATACCTCGCGCAGGTGGACGTTTACTGGAGACGGGCACGGAAGATTTCCTGACATTGAAGCGCAAGGGAGAGCTGGGAAATAGTAAGTGAACCGATGGCTATCTCTCTCTTATGCCAGGTTGGAGCTCACCCTTGGTCAAAGTTCCCGGGAGACACTCACTGTAACTGCGTATGACTGATGAGACACCTGCCATTACAGAATGCATAAAAGGATGAGCGTAAATTTCGTGCTGGGTACGATCATCAACATTAGAAGACTCCTGCGTGCGCTTCCATGCTTGTTCGCCAGATTACAAGGTTAGACTCCTAGTAAAAGAACATGATTGAATCGCACTGGTTGATATAGTGCTTAGCGGTAGCCTGGACACCGCCAGCCTGCAAACCCAGGATTGTTTCGTAGGCGGCTTCACCAGATAGGAACGGATCAGCACCGAATCCCTCCCAGTTGCGTCCACCTTGAGCGATGCGGCCCATATTCATCATCGGTCCCAGAGCAATATACACCCTTCATTCGGTTCTCTTGACCAATTGCAAGACCCCGCCGGGCACGCATTAAAGCACGATTCCAGCTGCATCACAATAAACATTCAAAACCTACGTGGAGGCGGTAGTGATACCAGCGGGAAATGAAGTGAAAAGGTCAGTATCCCGGACTCCAAGCGGTGAATCCTGGAGTATGCGCATCTTCAGGGATCGAACTACAAAGGGTTTTGTCGACGTCTGCATGTACTGGGTCACATCATGATTGACACGTTTCATGTCAACTGTCACTCCTCCATTTGACGTTCCCTTTCTAAATTCCAATCGACTTTGACGCGTGTGCATCTAGGTTCGCATCACGACCGCGCATATCGACTACCATTTCGTATACGCTCCCCATAATGCCAAAATATCCAGAACCTGCAGGTGTAATCAGTCAAAATAACGATGGAAAGAGCAGGGACAAAGACGTACGCGGGACAACCTATCGCGATTGCTACGACTGCAATGATAGTATCGCCCTTCCCGACACCAAGTGCGTTGTACATCGCTGGAGCAAACAAGGGAAATCCGAAGCCTGCTAGTGATTGTAGGCAAGTGACGGCAGCCAGCGCTGGACACGAGAGGCGTAAGTCGTCGGATGGAGGGGCTAGATTCGACGACAGTCTTCTGCATGCCTCGCACGTCTGAAGGTGGTCCGGTCGACATCATGGCCTGAGAAGTTATTTAGTAGCTGCGCCTGCCATTGCAAACCACTCAGGGAGAGAAGCTGGTTGTCAGCAGCAGGTATTGTGCTGGCCAAGCGGGAGACAGCTTGATCAATGGAGGTACCGAGGATAAGGCCAGCACCGGCAGGATAGCTGGGTCGCGGGTGAGAATCGAAAATCACAAAGACATCCGTACCCAGTCCTTTGATGATCGTGCATGCGATGATCTCAAGGGGGCGTGTGATGATGACAGTTGCAGAGGAATCCAAGCTTTGCGTATATCTGAAAAGATAATGAAATCGACGAAACCGACGAACGAAGGATTGCACTCACTCCAGGGTACGCATGAACTTCTTCGCCTTTGGAGGACCATACCGGGTTGCTAGAGCGACGAAATCATGAAATCGCGCCTCGGGTGAAACTGGCACCAAACGTTGGGGTGATTGTGAGTATCGATGAATATAGGAAAGCTCCAGGGCGTCTCCCTGAAACATTTCGTTATAATCAGTTTAACTAACATGAGGTGAAGCCACTTACTGCTTGAACTCGAAACGTGTACTGCGACGGGAAAAGAAAGGCGGAACTATTAAATATACGATGAAGTTGCTGGTCTTGAGGGCGCAGGATTAGTCGGCGCTAATGTGTTTCGAGTCCTCGTTAAAGCACCGAAGGATATTGAAAAAGGCTACGAATTCCCGGTCGGTCACAGTGCCCGATTGTTTCAGAGTCGACTCAAAGATGTTGTGAAAATGTTCAATGTATTGTGAGAAAACTCGGTAGGTCTTTGGTGAATTTGGAACTTGAGCTAGATGCGTTGGACCCAGGGATCGAAACTACCGAACCCGAGACTGAACGTTTAGTACATGAGAAACCGAATGGGGGAGGATAACCTGGAACGAAAGAGGATTTGAATAATTTGCAAGGAGATTAGAAAGTAGGAGAACTCACCTGACGCCAACCTCATATACACATCCCTGAGGAGTGCCAAATCGCTTGCATAGCAACACGTTCCGAGGAAGGAAGCTCGAGGAGAGCATGCCGGCGTTTCGTGAGGATAACGGTGGTGAAATTCTTGAAGGGTCCGATGACTTGGTGGGCCCTGGAAAGGAATGAGTAGAGCCGGTGATTAGACATATGTATTAGTTTTTGGCAGGGTATTATATGAGCGTACCGACATGACTTGAAATCGCTCACTTCCATGCGGACGAGAGGCATCTTGACCAAGCCAACTCAAAATATTGGTCTTACTTGCAGTTGCTTACCCTAAGTCGGGTCTAAGTAAACGCCCTTCTGTGACGCGTGACTATCGAATTGAATGAAATGGTACAGTATTCACAGGAGAGATCTACCTGTAAGCTGACTTGGAAGTGTCTAATGCTGAAATATTGAATGTGGAACATACCATTTTACAAGGTATATCGAGCACCCCGCATACGCGTCTGACGTCCTCCCAGTCTTTCTCCCACTCGCACCCATGATCTGTGCCAGACTCATTGCGTGTGTCCCAATTTCGCATGAACGCAGCTGATAGGTCGTAATCCTGCGGGTAAAAACATATGTATCAACCGTTTAAGCATGGCATATGTTGCTCTCTTTGTCCGCTAGTAATTTTGCGGTGACGGAAGAATCCACTCCTCCGGACATTGCAACGACGACTGGGTGTAACTCAATGGGGTATCGCGAACACAAAACATTTCACTTACCCTTGTCGCCTTTTCTTGGTATTTGAGTCCGGGAGTCATTGTGGGACCGATTTTGTAATCGCATGAAGCGACGTTGTCGAAACATAGCTGTCTAACTTAGATGTCAATGTCTCGAAAGCGTGACAACGGAACAGTGGTGTTGAACACTACACGGTAAGAAGTTAGTTGAACCTGTGGTTAAGCCGGTCCTTTTAGTACTCATTATATATATATAATTTGTATGCTGTACTTTTTTGAATAGAGACGGAGTACTGAGATAGGACAAGATCCGTCAGTTAAGCATAAACGAGAACGAAGTGCTAATGTTGAGTTGTCCGTCAGCTACCGAGCGGATTACCTCAGGTTCATCGCGAGTTTAAACTGAGGCTCAAACTGTTTGGTCTGTCAGCCATAGACAATTTATCCTGGGAACAACACCAAACAAGGGCTGCACCCCATAGGCACTATCTGCGCAGGGCGTCCTTGAATTATCCTTCGTCAGTCTCTCTACACATTGTCGGCACAATAATCGTTGGATCAACAGGCTCGTTTAGAGTCATCTCACTGCGGTCAAAAAGCAGAATATACTGGGGACAATATCGTTCTATAGTTCCGCATTGTAAGGTACTATATACATGGGGCATCTTACAGATATCCTGACGCCGTTGTTCTGCTTATCCTCGGTATAATAGTCACTTTATCAACAGGCCCATTGCTCAATTTACTATGCCTGATCTGATGGTACGAAGCGATTCAGATAAGCTAG